GGCAGGGCTCTTGGGGAGCATGGCCCTGGGACAGGATCTCTAACTGTGGCTGATGGACACATCTCATCACTTTCAAACCTTGACTTGCTATTCCCAGGAATCTATGCACATCTTTCCTCCATTCCCACCCCCAAGCCCTGCTTGCCTGCCTGGTGTGTTCCTATGCATCACGCCCGATCTACACGTTGCCTCCTCTGGGAAGCCTTCCAGACCACCCACGTTTGAGCGGGTGCTGTGATGTCCTCCAGGCTCCCGTAGCGCCTTGTCCTCCCATCAGCTTGCTCCTACTGCTGAATCACAACTGTCTGCAATTTGTCTTCTTCTCTGCGAGCTCCCTGAGGTCTCATTCATCTTTGCTTTTCTGGTTCTTGGCACTGTGCCTGGCACAGAGTCAGCATCAGTGAATGTTTGAGGGATGAGTGGAGTAGCTGGGCCGGCACTGTGTACAATGAGAGCATGGAGGGATGGAGGAGAGGAGCTGTTTCCAGGCACCTCCTGCCCTGCCCTGCACAGCAGACTCACAGGGCCACGGAGGTCTAGGCTCTGCCTCCTCACTAAAGCAGTTGGCCCCTTAGTCCTTGCAAATCCTTTCTCTAAAATTTTTTAAAATTATTTTTTAATTGTGCGAGTGAGCTCATACATGTGTGTCTCTGTATCTGTGCACATGAGTGCAGGTTCCTGAAGAGGCCAAAGGTACTGGGACCCCATGGAGTTGGAGTTACAGGTAGTTGTGAGCCACCTAATGTGCGTGGTGGGATTTGAACTCAGGTCCTCTGGAAGAGCAGTATATGTTCTGAATTACTGAGTCATCTTTTCTTCCTTTTTACCCTCATGGAGGGCACATCCCAAGTATCCCTGTGAATATGCCTGGAATCAGAGCAGGACCACTTGGAGGACACAGGTCACTCCGGGGCCAGGCAAGTGCACAGATGATGACAATAACCATGGAGGCCCTAAGGAAGGAGTTGAGTTCCTGGGAGCTCAGGGCCAGCTTGCTAAGCAGAAGCAAAGGGGCTGTAGTTCAAAGTTCCACAAGTTTGCTCTCTTCCCTGAGTTTTGTGTGCTCCTGGACCTAAGAGTCGGGGTGCTTATACCTTGTTTGAGCAGGACGTGAGCCAAAATAGACTTCACACACTGTCTGGAAGCAGGGGGCGTGCATAGGCACTGGGCGAAGGGGCAGGTACTGCCCTTTAGTACTGCTTGTAAAGCCAGAGTGCTTATGGCTTCTTTCTGAAGCAGGCACATAGCTTTGGGGGTCAAGAGTTGTGGTGCTGCAAAGTGTGGGCTGCAGTTGTCCCCCAATCCCTTCTTCCGCCACGGTGGCAGAGTGGCTAGTTAACTGCTGACACACCACTGATAAAGGTGAGTGTTCCTGTGGCCCAGGTCTCGGCATCCTGACCTCCCTATAGCAGTGTCCCCGCCAACCCGTCCTTTGAAGTCATGCAGTCTCAACCAGCAGATGGCTTCTCTCTCTGTGGCCCCCTCTAGTCATGCCATGTGTGTCTGAGAAGTGTCTCTGACCCACGGCTCCTCTGGCCCAGCCCACAGCCCCGCCTCTACCCAAATTGTAATTGTCAGATGACGGTATTTCTCCCTCTTCCTTTGTCTTCCAAGACTCTACTTTTTCTCTGGAGTAGGCACTCCAGTACTGATGCTGGCGTTCCAGAATGACAGTGGCTCCTTATTGTCCCTCAGACTCATCACAGATACTCAGCGTGGTGTTCAAAGTCTTTCCTGATCATATAACGGCTCTCAGATTGCATTCTTTCTTGCTGTGATGGTCCCTGTGCTTCAAGGCTCCAGGCACGCTCCTACCGAAAGAGCCCTTCTCCCTCTCAAGCTGCGCAAATCTCACCCATCTACCCGGGCCTGCACAAATGGAAACTCCACCCCATCCTGAGAACTGGACATAATACTCTCTGCCCCTGAGCATTCCAATGAGCCTCTCCCAGAGCAAAAACCTCCACAGCATCAGAATTTGCTGAGCCTGCAGTATGCAGAGCACGGCACTGGGCACATCTGGGAGTAAGTGGTGGGTAGCAAGCACTCAGTAGTAATTGTTGAGCAGTGACTATGTACCTCACCCCTGCTAGGCATCAAGGCTACAGGGCTGAAAAGGGCAGGGCTGGTGTTGGCCTATGGAATGGGCGGGCTATGATCTCTAGAACATACGCTGACAATGGGCTGCCCAGCCTATCAGGGTTTGGTCTGCTGGCTGTGTGCTGGTCTGAGCTTTGATGGGTCACACTGAGTCAACATTTTCCCTTTGTGTGCCATTTGTCCAGGTCTGAGTATCTTTAGGATGCTTCAGAGGCTCATACCCTACAGATTCCAGAACCCTCCTTGCTGCCCCCAATGATGGCAACCTGAGAGATCAGGAGGCCCTGGCTTGTTCTCAAGCTAGCCTGCTAACTGAGATGAAGAAGCAGATGGCTTCTCATCTTCTTCCCTACCTACCCCTCTGTATCAAGGACGAGGGAGGGGAAAATTCTCAGATGAGACCTTTTATTCAGTGTCACTGTGGTTCACAGACCTCAGTGTCATAAACCTACTATCTGCCAAGGCTGAGAATCATACCATCACCATGCTGCATGGCCCTGACCAGTCATAATAGACATAGGTGTGTGGAGAGTGAGAGGAGGTAGAATCAGGGTCCTGGATTAGTGCCGGATTGTTCATTGGCTCTGGGGTCTCTAGGGAGGAACAGGGGTACCAGAAGTGCATTGCTCAGGGAATCTTGTATAGTTACTTGCTCACTGGAACTGGAACTGAACTACTCTTTTTTTTTTTTTAATTTTATTTTATGTGCATTGGTGTGAAAGTGTTGGATCTCTTGAAATCGGAGTTTCAGGCAGTTGTGAGCTGCCATGTGGGTTCTGGGAATTGAACCTGGGTCCTCTGGAAGAGCTGCCAGTGTTCTTGACCACTGAGCCATCTCTCCAGCTCCCAGAAGTATTCTCAATCATTGTAAGTCAGCACCAGTACATGCTATTCCTGCGGTCCTGCCACCAACCAGACAGTCAAATGAAATACAGTTGGAAACCACATATTTTATTTATATTCTTCATTAATAACAGAGGGCCATGTGCACAAATGCTACCCAAGTGCCACACCTGGCAAATTCCCCACAGCCACCGCTCACTGACTGGTATTTAAGGAGCTGCCCACCTGGCGTTCTCCTTTCCTCTTTTGGGATGTCAGGCTCCGTGGTGCTGAGCCTGGACAATGCAAGGCTGGCTTCCAAATTTGAACTCTAGGGTCAAGTGGTCTCTAAGTCTTGAGTTGTCTAGACCTCTCCCACCTCTTGTTTCCTCGTGACGCTTAAAGTGTGTCCAGAATTGTGAGTGAAGATACCTTTAATGGTTCCTCTACTGAGGAACCCTGGGCTCCCTTTCAGCCCTCCACATATTTTCCCTCCAAGGGCTCAGCTTCAACAACTGCCAAGGTAGCAGAGTGGACCTGTAGGAATCAGCTGCCCTTGATGGTGGGCACCTGGATGGCCAGTTACCGAGACTCTGCCCACAGTTGGTGCTTGAGAAATATAGGCATTGTGAACGGATGAAGGATGAACAATAAATAGGAGGCCCCAAAGAATCAATGCTGGAGGGAGACGTGACGTGTGAGCAGAAAAGCCATTACTACATTAGCCCTCTGGAGGGCACCAGAGTAGGAGCCTGCATAAAATCCTCCTAAGCTTTGTTCAAGAATTCAGGATCTTATGGAGCAATGACTGGGGCCAGTGGGCTACCCACTGGACACTGCAGTCTGTGGGCTTCAGCCTCAATGCTTGTATGAACGTTGGATTGCCGTGGGACCAAGTCAGGAGAGGGTTTTTATGCGGTTCCCACTCCTTCATATGCCCAGGGGTCTGTCTGATCCACAGGATCTCAGAGTATAAGGCAGTACTCCATCTAGATCTAATCAGGCAGTCAGGAATGGACTGGCAATTGCACCCCTCTGTCCTGTCATCCCCACTAATCCCTCAGGGCTGACTGTGACTTTCAGGCTTTTCTCTCCCTTTGCTGCCACCTGGCCCTAACACAGTTACATCTCCCTGTCCTCGGGTGCCAGCCCCTCTTAGCTACTGCTGACATCAGGAGGTCTCCTGAAAGGCTGGATTGGGTGCAAAGTCTGTGTTCTGACGTTTAGACTCTCCGCACACTCATCTCATCCCAGCCCCATGAAAGCAGCTAACCCCTAAAGCCGGTAACCTCTAAAGATCTTGTCCTTGGGCCCAGCAGTGGCAAAGAGGACTATAGAATCAGGAACATAAAGGGATCTTTAAGTTCATCTAGAACTAGAACAAAAATCTCTTTCATAGCACTCCTGCCAGATAATTGTCTAGATACTGTTAAAATACCTCCAATGGTCAGCACTCACTCTAGGTAATGTTCAAACACTGGATGGTTTCAAGAGAGTCAACCCATTTGTCCCTCCATCCTGCCCCTCCAATACTCACACTTCCTCTGTGCTCATAACAACACTTGTCACGTCCATCCCCTCTTACACACACACACACACACACACACAATTATATAGGCTATATAGAAACACACGTCCCTTATTACTTATGGGTAACTTCCTTTTCTCCCTTCCTTCTTCCCTTCCTAATATCTAGCAAAAATATGGAAGCTGGAGACCAAATGCCAGAGGAATCCCGGGGGGAGGGGTGGAATATCCAGCTACTCCTGGGCTGGGCAGGGCAGGAAACAGCATTGAAAAGTCTCAGGCCATTGATTGCTGTCTCCAGGGGAAAGACCTTGTACATGGACTAATCAGCAAGTGTTTGTGCTTCCCTGAAGACACACAGTACTATCCGTCCCTTATAGGGGACGAGCATGCATCCCCACCCCTACCAGTTGGCACAGCTTCCTGGGCTGCCATTTACCAGCCTTCAGGTCCTGTGGTGTCTCCTACCAGCAGCCAGAGTGTAGTCTCCACTATCTACGTGAGGAGAAGGACTTTAGCAGAAGCAGTGAGGACCTGAGACATGACAGGAGCTGAGGAAAGGGCTTCCCAGAAGATAACTTGAAGCAGAAACATCCTAACAGGTTAGCAGCTACCTACCTGGCTGGGCTTTGAGAAACCTAGTGGTACCCTGATGGCTATTTCCCCTCTGTGTCAGAATGCACCTGTTATGAATCCTCAGAGGGTTGAAGACCCGGGGTGGATATGATGCCCTTCCTAGGGGAGGTTGTGGTGTTTCACAGGTGGAGACAGGGGTGCTGTGGTCTTCAGGAGGAACTGAGACAGAGAAATGACAGGCGTACTTGCCAGCTATTTGTCCTGCTGCTTGGAGCTTTCAGTCCCCACATTGAACATGGGGACCAGCAAGCCCAGCAGCCACCTCTTTCCGAAGACCTCCTGTAAGTTCTTGCGCCAGGGCCGGGCTCTCACTGCCAACCCTTTCCGAACCTGGTAGCGGGTCTGCCCCCGGAGGATCAACAGCAGCTGGTGGCAGCAGAAGCCGGCACAGGCCAGGCCGACAGCAAACCAGAGGTAGAGCATGAGAATGACGAACATGTCAGAACCGAGGACAGCTCCTGCGGGGGAAGGGAAACACCAGACCACTTTACACCCAGGGCACATACCCAGGCGCACCGAGCTCTGGCGCTTTCCGCTGCCAGGCAGCGAGAGAGGCTCGCGATCTGGAAGTTGCGATTTGTAGCAATCTCAGCTCCGCAGTCTGTGAGACTGTGGCAGAGTTCCTTGCCCCAAGTTTTCCTTAGTGCTGATGGCTCTCGAGGAGAGGGGAAGAAGAACCGGGGGCCTAGGGAGATGGAGAACAAGCTAGATGAGCTCAGCGAAAAGAGCCCTCCGCATTTCTGGCACAGACTAGACGTTGCACATTTCCCTAGAGGCAGAAATGCTTCCCATTTCACTTTCTGGATTGGAAGCAGGCGGGGGAGAGGGTAGGGTCACACGAGGAAAGAGGAGCGAACTTAGGACCCTAAAGAGGGAGCTGGCACCTGGGCTGCTGTCTAGACTGCAGTCAGTTCTCCCTGTGAGGCTGGGAGCACTGTCTGGGAGGATTTGGGAAAGCGACAGCATGATGGAGAACAGGACCTGGCCATGGGAAGGAACAGTCACGAGCTCGGCTTCAAGGGCAGAGCACAGAACAGACTTAGAGAACAATTCTGTCATTAATGTTAACAAAAGAGACACTGGAACACTCAGCCAAAGCTGTCCTGTCAGTCACACCGACTGGCTAAGGCTCCAAGAGGATAGAGCAATGAAGTACGTACACACCGCCCGTCACCCTCCTCAAATTGAACAAACAAACATTATACATAATTATAACAAAAACTCATGAGAGGAGACAAGTCGTAACAAGGTAAGCATACTGGAAAGTGTGCTTGGATTAATCCCTAAGGCCACCAGTTCAGCACCCTGACACGGGACAGCACCTCTTCTACACCTTCCAAACCCACCACTCTCCGTGGCTGTTTTAAAATGTCCACCAGTAAGAGACCTCATGTGTCCTCAGAGTTTGAGGTGGGAGGATTCATCCGTGCTGAGTTTGAATTTCCCAGCTGTGTGGACCTGTGCAGGGTTCTTAGCCTCTCTGAGTTGTAGATTACTCATCTGCAGAATGGGTATAATAATGCTTCATAGGTTTACAGCATTACAGGGGTTTGGAGTTGCCAGAGTTGTGGTTTTCAGTCAGTGCTGAATATCATGGCTCAGAGGAGGAGAATAAGATCCTCTGGCCTCCCCCCACCTTTCCAGGGCTTGGGCTGCAGCTGGATCAGAGGATTGAGAACAGAACTCAGAGGTCTTTCTTCATCTCTCAGCTGGGCAACCTCACCATTGCCTTCTGCAGCTAGGCTTGGGTGCCTGCTTCAGAGATGTTGCTTTACAACCCCGTCTACCCACACACATCTCCATCGTCTTCCCTTCCCCCAGCATACCTCTTCCCAGGCCCCAGTTTCCAGACTCCTGAGAAGTAGGCTTCAACACCTGCTAGTCTGATCCACGATGGATTCGTTCAGCAGCCAAGATGAATCGATCTGCTGGCCTCTTTCCTCAACCCTAGGAGCTTGGGTGGCAGGATTTTCTTTGCAAAGTTAGAGACAAACAGGTCTAGCTGCCCAGAGGACAGAAATCTTGTTCCAGCTGGCATTTGGAGAAGCCCCTCCACCATTGTTGGGGGCATCAGAGAACAGACTCAAATGGGGCTGGGCCATCCTGTGACCCACTTTTTCCTTGTCAGTACAAATTAGCTTGGGCAGCCATGTGCAGGGCAGAGACTCCCAGGGACATGGTGCCCTTCTAGCCTGAGGAATACTGATGTGCAATCTAGCCCTCAAGCTAGGATGTGAGAGCCTTAGAGCTGTCCAGCTCAGACCTGCCTTGCAACTCAGCCCCAGTAACAAGCCTGGCAGATGGAAACCATTTCCCACAGGTTTCTAAATCAAGGAATGCGGCAAAGACCTTTTTGGCTTTTTGCTGGCCCCATGCAGCATCTACAGAAAGCTATTCTGGGGACATGCTTCTTTCTTTCAAAGTGTTTGAAGTTACCTGGCCTGGCTGCTTCAGCGCCTCTAAACTATGTAATAATTTTTCTTCTTTCAGAAAAATCACAAAACTTTCTTAAGGGATCTGAAAGATTACATCATCTAATCTCCTCTGTCCTTCCACCCCCCCCCCCGCCACAGCCATCTCTAGCACTTTTGTCAAACCTACCCCAGAATATTCTATTTGGGCAAAGGCAGCCCCCCTCCTCCCAAAGAGGCCATTCAGCAAGGAAGCAAGACTAGACATGGAGGTGGTGGGCCAGAAAAGAATGGACCCAGAATCCAAAGCTGCACTAGTTAGAAGCAACTTAACCTAGCAGAGCCTTTGGTTCCCCAGCTTTAAAAAAAAAAAAAAAAAAAAAAAGTAGCTGTCTCCTAGATTAGTGCTAATGATTGGATGTAATGAGACACATCCAATGGGACACAAAATAGGCATTCAATATGTTCTAGCCACCTTTTTCTCCTACTGGCCCTTCTAGTGGAATCTGCCAGAGGGATACTAACCCAAATGCCATGGTCCATGCAAAGTGGTGTCATCTCCATTCTCTAGATAAGAATGGAGCTCACACAGGAGACATGAAGCCAAAAGGAAGGAACTCTTCTTAAACTTCCTCAGCTGACCCTCTCTCTTACCTTTGGTGTTAGCAGAGGATCTGCAGTGGTATCTGCATTTTTGGAAATTTCATTTTTAGAGCCCCCACCCACCCACCACACACACAAAGGTGGGAGGCTTTCAGGGTCCCACTTACAATCATCTCAGGTGCCAGTGGCAGGCCTTGATCTTGGGTGATTTCTATTAAACAACTGCCTTGGTCCACACTTCTGCTTGCCTGTTCTCCTGAGCAGTAAGAGGGGATGCTCTGGGCCATATGGACCAGGAACTGGGGAAGAAGAGTCTCAAAGGAGGGAGCTGAACAGGTGTGTGTGTGTGTGTGAGAGAGAGAGAGTATGTGTGAGTGTGAGAGAGTGTGTGTGAATGTGTGTTTGAGTGTGTGTGTGAGAGAGAGTGTGTGTGAATGTGTGTGAGTGTGTGTGTGAGAGTGTGCGAATGTGTGTGTGAGAGTGTGTGAGAGAGAGAAAGTGTTTGCAAATGTGTGTGTGAGTGTGTGTGAGAGAGAGAAAGAGAGAGTTGTGTGAATATGTGTGTATGTGTGAGTGTGTGTGAATATGTGTGTGAGTGTGTGAATGTGTATGTGTGTGAGAGTGTGTGTGTGAGAGAAAGAGAGTATGTGAATGTGTGTGTATGTGTGTGTGAGTATGTGTGTGATTGTGTGTATGAGTGTGTCAATGTGTATGTGTGTGAGTGAATTTGTGTGTGTGAATGTGTGAGTGTGAGAAAGTGTGTGTGAATGTGTGTGTGAATGTGTGTGTGAGTGTATGAATATGTGTGTGAGTGAGTGTGTGAATGTGTGTGAGTGTGTGTGAGAGAGAGAGTGTGTGTGTGAATGTGTGTGTGCGTGGGTGTGTGAATGTGTGTGAGTGAATTTGTGTGTGTGTGTGTCAATGTGTGTGAGTGTGTCAATGTGTGTGTGTTTGAGTGTGTGTTTCAGTGTGTGTGTGTGTGTTTGAGTGTGTGTGTGTGTGGCCTCGCACAGAGGGCCAGAGAAAGATGTGAAGGGCCAGGAAAGGAGGAAGAGGAGATGGATCTGGTGATGAGAAGTCTTGAATTCCCTTTTCTAGTGGGCATCGTGAAGGAATGTGAGACTCATCCTAAAGCCAGAACAGATGCCTGGGCCCTGAGGTGGGCATGGGCTGGCTCTTTTCTCCCATCAGATCAAAGCGAGAGGCTTCCTTTCTTCCGTATTTCCCAAACCTAGCACATATGGACAGGCCTCACACCAGACTTAAATCAAACCATTTCAAGGTCCTCCTTCTGGAACCACCCATTTTTATGGTTGGTGAGACTACTTGGAAAAAGATGTGTAATCAGGTTCTCTGGCTCTTCTCCTCACTCCACCTGCCTGCTCTCACACTCCACCCCCAACCCACCCACCTGCCTTCCCCCACCTTGCTTATTTTTGTCTTGGCAGCCTCTTTTGCCAGCACCAAGATCCAGAAGGCCCTAAAGCTCCAAGTTCTGGGTCCAGCTTAGCCACCAGCCATCCAGGCATTTATTATGACTGGTCCTCCCTGGGCTACTGTGTTTCCACTGCTAAATGGCATGATAGGTCTATGTCTGGGAAGAGCTGGGTTACAGATACAACAGAGGCTAAAATGAGGCTCCCCTTATGGTATATACAGCCAATTTTTTTCAAATGCCCAGCCCAGTCCAGTCTAGTCCAGTCCAGCCCAGTCCAGCCCAGCCCAGCCCAGCCCAGCCTAGCCCAGTCCAGTCCAGTCCAGTCCAGCCCAGCCCAGCTCAGTCCAGTCCAGTCCAGCCCAGGTACATCAGGACAATCAGGCTTCCTGTAGAAGCCTTTCTTTGACTCTAAAAGGTCAAGTCACTGTGTTTGGGAATATGGGAGCTGAGGAACAGCACTGAATTGTGGTTTAAGCACCTGGATACAGGCCAGAGATAGTTATTCCAGGGAAGTAAGACACTAGGCAGGTTATTTAGTCCCAGCTAAGACTCAGTTTCTTTATCTGAGAAATGGACGGACCCAAGAGCCCCAGACCCAAATTTGTGTGCACACTACTAATTGTAGAGAGCAAATTGGTCAGAATCAAAGGTCAGGGCAAGAAAAGAGTGGAAGGAAATGAAGTAGAGATAAATGCCAAGGCCAAGTAAAATAGGATTGCTGCCAGGAGCAGAGTCTCGCAGGGCCAGGCATCATGGGATGCTCTGAGACATATGATTCAAACTACAGCCCACGTGGACACCAGTATGAGGACTCATGTGTCGAAGTCCAGCAGGGGTCACAGCCTTCCAGAGGGCCAGATCCCACACCAGACTGGATCCCTGGAGAATGGACTTGTAGCCAGTTGAGGTGGCTCTCAGCTCACCTACCAAGGCAGAAGTGCCTGGTGGAGTCGAAATTAGCGGGTGGGAGATTGTAGGGTAGTGGTTAGCTTCCTGCCGAGCATGGCCTGAAGTCAAGTTTAGCCTCACTGTGGTTGTTTGGTAAGAGGACCTGAAGGGATTTGTGGACAGGACTGCTGCAGAAGGTGGGGAGTCCAAACCAATGGGGGAACATTGCATGAGCTCCGAAAGGAAGTGCCTGGCCTGAAAGGTGTACAGCTTGGTTGCCATAACTTTTATGAGTAACATATAGTGTGAAAGATGAGGAAGGCAGAATGTCAGGGGAAATAGAGCATGCCCAGTTAATCTGAATCTCTGCTAGATTACAGTCTGTTCTCTTAATATGCCTCCTGAAATACTGGAGCATAATCATACCAAACGACTGTTAATCTGACGCTAGGAGCTGAATATCCTGTGCTTTTATTTGAAAAACTTGGGGATGGGCTAGGAGGTCTCGTCTGCCAGACCTCCCAAGGCCCACTCACCGGAGAAGAACTGGCTGATTGAAGTGGGCAGGAGCGTGAGGAAGGCCAGGGGATGGGCGAAGGAGATGGAAAGGACAGCTGAGATGTAGGCCACGCCGGCCACCATGGAGTAAAGACAGGCCAGCGAAGTATACAGGCAGAACAGGATGAAGTTGCGCATGTTCCTGCTGCCGATGCAGTTGCCGGTGAAGAAACAGTGGTGGTCGTGCCTCAGCGTGACTCGGGAGCACACTCGGCAGAAGTGGGTGCTCGGTGGTGGGCACTGAGATCGCTGGGATGAGGTTCCCTGGCAGGTACCCAGGTCGTCTGGGGAGTTCTGGATGACCAGGACGTAATTGCCCAGGGCATTGGCTGAGAGGAACAGGAAGAGTGCTCCGTGAAGCAGGGCAGGCGAGAAGAGCTGGGTGGCTGTGGGGTCCTCATGCATGCTGGGCAGGAAGAGGAAGAGCTGCAGTACGAAGGTCACCAGGGAAATGCAAAGGAAGTAGGCGGGGGCCACCACGTTGAGCAGCCGCAGGGCCAGCATCTCCTCGATTACATTCCTAAGGGGCGCAAGGAGAGAGGAACCCTTACAGCGGTGTCTAGGGTCATCTTGGTTCTCTTCTCCTTGGTCTAAGGGGAGGGCTGTACACAAATCTCCCAAACTCTGCCCCATGGACCACCCTTTCCGGTTTCCCCAATTTGGGACGGAGCATGTTAGAGACCCAGAGACCACAGAGGCCTGCCCCTGGCCAGACCTACTTTGGATAAGTCTCTGTTGCCTTGGAGTCATGGAGGACAGGCACAGGAGGGAAGGGCCTGTGTGCAGTCTGGAGTGATTGTCTGTGGGGGAGGGGTGGGGTCTAGGGGCTGAGGGATGGAACTGCTATGTTATCACAGTAGTGAAAACAACCCACTTTTGGGATCTCTGGCTGAGGCTCCTCTAGGAGGAAGAGAAGGATCAAATGAGGGTGGAGAGACCCTTTGGATTCTTGGAAATCCTGGCTCACCCCTGCCCCCCACTCCTATCTTGAGCACTATTCTGTGACCTCACAGGTTACCCAAGGCTCTTTGGGAGTAGTTTGTGAGGTGAACCATGATGTGTGTTCCCTTGTGAGACTCGTGTGTTACCTGTGTGAGTCTGGGTTTGTGTGTGTATACCCACCCACTACCACCTGGCTTTTTCTTTTAAAAAACCAATTAAACAGTCGATACAGTGCTCAGGGGCTGGGTAGGGTGGAGGTGTAGCTAGATTACTCATGCCTGTGAGTCCTGATCAGTTCATTTTCCAGTCTCTGGTTACCCTGACTATTTCTATAAAATCTTTGCAAAGAGTGTTTTCCTTTGAGGCAATGAAATTGAAATCGCTCATTCGCACCCGCCTTTCTCTCTCCTGGCGGGAGAAACCCAAACAATCCCCAAGGCGCCGAAACCCTTTCGATGCCAAGAAGCCCGTCCTGGGTGGACTAGTGGATGCTTGGCAGCTTTCTTGGGATGCTACCCCTACACAGAGCCGAATGCAGCCTCACCTCCTACAGCCGGAGCCCCTGCGCAACTTCGGATACCACAGGGAAATAGGTTCTGTATGTCGAGAAGAACTTTTCAGTGGTCTAAGTAATCGGCCTGAAGTAGGCACAAGAAAAGTTCTGGGAAGGTGGCTGCATCCAGGATAGATGGATGCCACGGCCTGGGGCCAAGGTCCGGGCTGAGATATTGGTCACCTTGTAATCTTCTTTGCAGGTGACTGTGCTTACAGCTCTAGGGACCTGAGGTCTCTCTGCACAGCTGGGGCGCAGCTCAGGGCATCACTGGGGGATGATCTCTGGGGACTCAGCTTCCCCATAGTCATGCATCCCCAGAGGCCACGGGGGCGCTGCCCACTTCACAAAGCCTTGAGTACCAGGCTCCGGCGAGGGAAGCAAGTGTCTTCCCGGCGCCAGTCGCCAGGGGGGCGCGGGAGCAGCCTCCAGATGCGCCGCGGCTCTGGGAAGGCAAAGGACTGGGCTGGGGGAGTGCGGGGCGCCGGGTGGGCGGCCGCAGCCGGGGCCCTGAGTCCCGCAAAGGCCCACAGAGAGTGGCTGGCGACGCGAGCGTGGGGAGCTGTCCGCTCAGCACCGGCGCCCGCACCACCGGCCTCTGACGGCGGCATCGGAGCCCTGCGGACCCAAGCAGCGCGGGCACCCCGCCGGTTCCTCCGCCACTGCCTCCAGGACACCCGGACAGACGCCCCCCCGGAGCGACCGCAGCACCGCAGAGGACTGGGGGATGAACTCACCCAGCTCGGATGGCGACAGGAGCAGCCCCGGACGCCGACCCTGGTTTTCCCCGAGGCTGCAAAGTTGTGGGTTCGCCCGACTGGCTCTCAGCCTTCTCACGCTTCGCTTCGGGGGACTGGGCAGGTAGCGGGGGTGTGGGAAGGAGGGAGCGGTCAGCTGCCGCCCTCCTGCTTGGGCGCCAGAGAGTGGGGGCCAGGAGGCAGCGGGGATGGCAGCTGGGCACCCCCCAGCTCCTCCACCCCTCCCTCCGCTCCTGGGGGCGGTGCTCTGGCCACTGGCTCAGCACTGAGGACTTGCCCCTCACATCCCCGCCCTTCTCGGCTCCCCCAGGGCGGGTTGTGGTGCCCTGCCTTACTGCAACCCCAGTTCCAACTGGGAGGTGGGGATTCAGTCCTGATGCAGAAGCTCCAGGCAAACCCTGACCTCCCCTCCTACCCTCTTCCTGTCTATGACCACCCCTTCCTGCTGTTGGCTAAGACCAAGGAAACCTTGTGTGTGTGTGTGTGTGTGTGTGTGTGTGTGTGTGTGTGTGTGTATTGCGGGGTGAGGGGATGTGGGCTGTTGAGAGCTCAGCTTACCAGGGCAACACCCATGAAAATCAGCATTAGCTCAGAAGGTCTGGTAACTGAGGGGTGAGAGCCCATCTACCTGGGTGTTGATAGCCACCGTTCACTATTTACTGGGTGAGCCTACATTCCAGGGTCTTCTGTAGGGTAGAGGATTGAATGAGAGTAGCTGTAAAGCCTACTTGGGATGAGGATTGTTTGTGTCTTAGATCATCATTAACACTACAGATTGGCCCTTTCTTAAGTAACAGGCACCGTGCTGAACCCATGACATGACAGCTGCATTAATCCTCCAGGATAGTCCCTGAAGCTTGCTGAGACCCATTCTAGGGCCAAGAAGGCAATGCTAAGTCACATGTTCAAGGTCATGCAGCAGGTGAGTGGTGGGGCCTGGATTTGAACCTGGTTCTAGCACAATGCTTCTGTTTTTCACTCTCTGCCGCTTCAGCATCACCTGGCACCCAGGGGCAGCTTTGGTGTGTGTGTGTGTGTGTGTGTGTGTGTGTGTGTGTGTGTGTGTGTGTGGACAACAGGGGTTCATCCAGACACAGACTGGGACCTGAGCTTTTCCTGCCCCTATCTATCTCCTCATACCATTCTCACGTGTGCTACGAGACAGTTAGAGACCGTGATACTAGTATATGGCCTCTCTCTCTCTCTCTCTCTCTCTCTCTCTCTCTCTCTCTCTCTCTCTCTGCATCCTTGCATGTTGGGGGGGGGGAGAGAGTCTAAGAACACGAAACATTGCAAGACTATCCATGCTTTTGCTAGCCTCAGTTTCCCAAGCTGTCATGGCTCCCAAGGCTGTCTTCTCCACTCCTCTGTGTGCAAGCAAACATGATAAATGCTTATTGCTATCTCAACCGGTTGATTAAAACGAGCAATCCTTTGAAGTGAAGGCCATATGCCGATCGGCTTAGCCTCTATTTTTGAATCATCAGACACTGTTTTCTCTGTATTTTATCAGCATACATAAAAATAAAAAAGGGGCCAGGAAACCTTTTCATGCTCTGAAAGGAACTTATATATGAGAGAATGGCACACCAGGTGGCAGCTCCAGAGAATCTGGTGGCCCCAGGACAAGAGGTCTTTCTCCTTCCAGAGCAGCTTGGAGTCACGAGCTGCCTGCCTCACTCCTGCCCTCCCTCCTCCGCCCCCCCCCCCAGCTCTGCCTGCCTCACACACAGGCTTGAGCTGGAGGGGGACCAAAGGGCTGGGTCTGGGCCATACTGATTGGAAATCTCCATTCCTTAAATACCTTGAGAGCTGGACATGTTTCTAATTTTATTTTGCATATGGGTGTGTGTAGGGGGAAGGTGAGTAGTGTGTGTGTGTGTGTGTGTGTGTGTGTGTGTGTGTGCATGAGTCTGTGCTGAATTAGCATGTTAGGGGTAAAAAAGAAGATGTCAGCGGGGGGAGGGGGAATCATCCAGGATTGAGGAGATGGGTGGAACAGACAAGAATGGACAGGATAATTATTTATTTAGAAACCAAATTTATCAACAGAAAAGGACATTAGAGCTGGAGTTCTGAGCCTAGTATAGTGATTTCTTGGCCCCTCTAAGCAACAGAGCAAGAGGAAGAACAGCCAAGTGCTTTGTCCCTGACAAAACCCCATAGGGAGGTCAACTTGAAACTTCACTTGGATTCTGGCCCTGGGTTAAGCAGACAATACTTCATTGCCACTTACCAGCCAAATGAACTTGAAAAGGTGGCTTAACCCTCTGCGTTCTGCATTCTCTCGGTCTTCTCCTTTTTAACCCGAGAACTCCCATCCTGTATCAGAAATATTGGGGAAGGTGGTGTCTCTGATTTGCCTGGAGTAGACCAGAGTAAGTATTCTGGTTAATGAATCCACACTTGTCTTCTGGAGAGAAAAATGTGTATTTTGAGGTTTTGAAATGTCTGGTGAGGACACATTTGCCATTGATCTTCCATCCTGCTGACACCCACCCTGGCAGTAGTCTTGTTCTCCGCAAATAGTGTCAGAAAGTAGTTTCTAAACCCCATTCTCCATCGGCTTTGTCATCTGTTCTCATAACTGAGCTGTGATGGCACCTGCAGGGGCTCCCGAGGGGGCAGGGAATCAGGCAAGTGTCTGATTGAAGCTGAGCACTCTCCTGGAGGTATGTGCTATAAACCTTTCAATTTAGTGGTATTATTTGAGTGAAATAAACTCCTTTCCAAGTGGCAATCATTTCATTTTATCACAAAGTGGAGTATCCAAAGGAAGAAATCTCATGAAGTGAGCAGTTGCTTCTCCTTGGAGTGGTAGATCCCCATGTCTGTCAGACTTTCCATACCTATCTTTCGATGGAGGCCTCTCTTCAGAGCAGCAAGCTGGGGCTAAGGATACTGACAGGGTAATGCTTCATTTCCAGGCTTTTAGCACAGGTAGCTCATGGAGGATAGAAGCTGGGGTCTTGGGGTTAAGCAATGGTCTGAAATTAAGGCAGTAACAGATAGCCCTAGACAGGATGCTCAATGTAGCCGACAACTAACCCACAGACCAAGGAACTGCTAAATGCTTTCAGAAGGCTGAATAAGAAGATACCATCCCCGTCCACCCAGATTTGGAAGCCATCTCAGTCAGTCACACACATCGGAATTGGATTATCCCAGAATGCCTACCTGGAGGCGCCGCTTACTTCGCCCACGCTGCCTCCATTCTAGCTGCAACTGCATTACTTTGATATAGTAAGTTAGCAGCTTCACAAAATTAAAATCTCATTCCACGAGTCTCTCAATAGCCCTGTAAGCTAGCTGGGAGGAAAAGCAATATTAAACCCATTTTTCTTCTGAGAAAACCGAGGTTGCAGAGGTTTGTTGCCAGCTAACTGGTAAGCCTCAGCCTGTGTCGGATTCAAGCTGGGCACGGTGGTGCATTCCTGTAATCTCAGGACTTGGGGAGCCGGTAGTAGGAGAATTCAGGACTTCAAGGCCATCCTCTGCATATCCAGTTCAGGGACAGCCTGGGTTGTATCTGACTGGCTCAAACAAACCAAAACCAAAAGACAACAGCAACAACAAAAAGCAAAACCAAGACAATGAGCCAAGCAATAAACACACTTTCCTCAATATGATTTGCTATGCAAAGGTTTCACCAATACTTGTCTTTTCTGGAACATGGCACTTGCATAAAGTCAGGTGGTTTCCAGAATAAAACCTGCCCCATCTCCCCTTGTGTAAAACTACTCTGCTCCTTCTCCCTTGTCCCACCTACTTTGAAGTATGAATCCTCACAGCACTTGACACCACTGGACTGTTTGCCCCTCTTTATCAGAATGGCCACTCCCTGAGAGCATTGTGGACTATTTAAGCAACTATGTCTCCAGTGTCAAGTGTGTCGTAAGTGTTCAGTACATGCTATCTGCCCAAGTGAGTGCATACTAGGCACACACACACACACACACACACACACACACACACACACACTCTCTCTCTCTCTCTCTTATCAGATGCTCTCAGGAGCTCTGCTGTTTGTGGTACAAGAGAAGGTTGGATGTGACATAGATGCTCAGCATCTGGGCCCAAATGTCAAGGACGAAACAATAGGTCTGGGTGCCAGGTAACCGGAAGCTCTCTCTGATGATAGGGTGCCTCAGAGTGAAAATCTTTGCTTAGCCTGGGGGAACCTCCTCTGCAGTGCTCAGGCCTCTGAGGGATGGAGGCAAACTTTCCCCCAATTAGCCACCCTTTTCTGGGACCACTTAGGCAGCCATGGCAGGGATGCTGATGGCTGGGGACCAGCAAGCTCAGCTCAGAGGTGGAGGTGGTAGCAGGATTAATTGGTCCCTTCATCTCAGAGCATGCAGGAGGTGGGAGAGTACAGGGTGGGGAGAGGCAGGCAGAGAAGAGGGGCAAGGAGAGGAGTGCAGATGGGAGGAGTGTGCTCGTCTGACAAGGCACGGTCTATGTCTTTATGAGGAAGGATGGTCTGGAGGCACAGGGGGACGTCTTTGGCCTCTGCTGAGAGCCCTCCCGTGCCAGGTGTCCAGGATGGGAAGAAATGAGGCAGAAGGCTGACATCTCAATTCAGGAAGGAGGGAGGGAAGACCCGAGCAGTGAGGTCACTGCAGGTCCTTGTGGCCAGGGGACAGCAGGCAGCACATTCCTTACATCTGATCCCTCCTACCTCACTCTTCTGTCCCAGCAGAGAGGCCAGGGCCCGGGAGAGAGGCCATGTAGTCTGAGGATAAAAGCAGAAGCATTTGGTGCCCACTGGCCTGGACTTGAGTCTCTCTAGTCAGGTGTTGTCCAATCTTGGGCGAACTCCTCTGCCTTCCCCAGCCTCCAATTACATCTCCATGAAATGTGAGCCTATCGAGTATAATTCATTTGTTTTATTATTAGCTTATTTATTTTGTGATAGAATCTAACGTAGTCCTGGCCTCAGGACTATGTACTGCTGGTCTTCCTGCTCTTACCTCCTGAGTACTGGGGTTAAAGGTGTGTGCCCCCGAGCCTGGTGTATGGGAGGCTGGGGATCAGAAACAGGGCCTTCTGCACACTAGGCAAGCGCTCCTCCAATTCAGCTGCAGCTCTAGCCACCATCATGAATTTTAAGCAGCAAAGGAGTCACTTTAGGAATACCTTCCTTTTTATGTGATGCGGCCTCTAGCTTCCCATCTGTCTGCCTTGGGATGCTTACTGTGGGCATCTTTCCTATTTCTTTCTCCTTCTCTTATTCTCTCTCTTTTTGAGGCAGAGTGTCACAATGTGAAGTTTTTATTGGACTGGAACTCACTATGTAGGCTGGACTAGCTTCCGATTCACAGAGATCCATCTTCCAAGTGCTGGGATTAAACGTATGCATCACCATACTGGCTGCTATGTCTTTC